TTTGCCAGACGGTGGTACATAGCCGTAATCCCAACACTTGAGAGATGGAAGCAGGAGGATCACCATGAGTTTGAGGTCTACCTGGGCTACACAGTAAGTTCAAGGCCAGCCTGAACTACACAGTTAGACCTTCTCTCAAAAAAATAAAACAAAACAAAAAAACCCCAAAATCCCTATTTTAAAAAAAGGCAGGTGGAGGGCCAGGCATGTACCTCAGTGGTGCTGTGCCTGCCTGGCAAGCCCAAGGTCCTGCATTCAATATCTGATACTGCAAAAAAAAGAAAAGAAAAAGAAAAAGCAGCTGAATGTAGCTCAGTGCAGAGGTCCTACGTTAAATCCCCAATATCACAAAGAAAAAAATGGGGAGGGGGGCATCAAAGAGAGGAGAGCTCCCAGAGATGCACAATGCCCTTCATACATTTAAATTTTACTTCATTAATACTTCACACAATTTAATCTTTCTTTAAAAATGAAACTAGCTGGGTGTGATAGTGCTTGCCTGTAATCCCAGCACTTGGGAGGATGAGGCACAGCCTGGTCTACAAGGTGAGTTCAAGGCCAGCCTACCTAGCAGAAACCCTGTCTCAAAAATCAAACGAATGAATGAACGAAAGAAATTATTTTCTGGGTGTAGTGGTGTACATCGGTAATTCCAGCAATCAAAGGGCCAAGGCAGGAGGATCCTTGGGAGTTTGAGGTCAGTGTGAGCTATACAGTGAGTTGAAAACCAGTCTGAGGTCTGGGGATGTAGCTCAGTGATGTGCCTGCCTGGCAAGCATAAGGTCCTGAGTTCAATCTCAGGTTATGCAAAAAAAAAAAAGAAAGAAAAGAAAAAGAAAAAAGAAAAAAGAAAACCAGTCTGAACTACATAGGAAAACACTGTTTTAATGCACATACCCCCAAAGAAACCATTTCAACTAAACTACCAAACAAAAAGTACAGAGACTATTGCACATGCTCAACTACTACGTACCCATTTCTAAAATTTAATAAGTGCTGTTTTATATTTATGATTTTTTTTTGAGAAAGAACTAGCCTTCCCTAGCCCTACACAGTGTTCTTCCTTATCCAGAGGTAAGAGCTCTTCTAAAGCTGATGACTTCTCCTGTGTTTATACTTATACCATATATGCACCCACAAAGAACCATGTTGTTCTTTTACACTTTAGATGTGTTTACATCCTTTTGGTATTTGCTTTTTCATGCAGTACTGATTCTGAGATCTTGCCATATTGACACACGTAAACCTACTTATTCATGTTAACTGCCTGAGGGATTTCTCTATTTCCCTATGGACAGACATTTAGGTCTATTTCCAATTTTTTGCTATCACAAACTTGCAATATACATCTTTGCACATATGTGGAAGAATTTTTATTTTTCTTCAAAAATACAAATACATGTATTTTTATCAATAGAACCTAGGTATACTTTTTTTAAAAATCCCACTCCCCCCACCAAACTCCCTCCCCTCCCCATGTACTATTTATTTTTTGAGACAGGGTCTATGTAGTTCAGGCCGACCTTGAACTGATTATGTAGCCCAAGCTGGTTCAAAATCCCCAGTGACCCTCCTGCCTCAGCCTCCTGAGTGCTGGGATTATAAGCATGCACTAGTATGCTCAGCTGAGTTGTCTCTTTATTCTTTGAGAGGGTCTTTTTAAATGTCTTTTTAAAATTATATTTTTAGTCCTCTTCTTTTTCACTTGTAGAAATTTTAAGTATGTATGTATGTATGCACTTACAGTGTTGTGGATCAAACCAAGGCTTCATACATGCCAGGCAAGTATAAAAGTTCTTTGTTGTATTTGCTGCAACTCTCTTTTCCCAGTCTCTAGCTTGATTTTACTTTAATTCTTTATGGGGTTAGTTTGTTCGCTTTTGACCCAAGTTTCCTACTTGTCTTTCTTTTTTGTTACTGAATTATAATAGACGTATTGAAAAGGGCACAGATTGTAAGCATATTGTTTGCTTTCACAAAGTAAACACATTAGTTAAAAAGTAGAACACCTGAGAAGCCATTT